CTCATCTACACACATCTACTCACAACTACACTCATCTACACTCATCTACTCACAACTACACTCATCTACACACATCTACTCACAACTACACTCATCTACACACATCTACTCACAACTACACTCATCTACACTCATCTACACACATCTACTCACAACTACACTCATCTACACACATCTACTCACAACTACACTCATCTACACACATCTACTCACAACTACACTCATCTACTCACAACTACACTCATCTACACACATCTACTCACAACTACACTCATCTACACACATCTACTCACAACTACACTCATCTACTCACATCTACTCACAACTACACTCACTCAACTACACTCATCTACTCACAAACTACACTCATCTACTCACACTACACTCATCACTCAACTACACTACATCTACACATCTACTCACAACTACACTCATCTACACACATCTACTCACAACTACACTCATCTACACACACATCTACTCACACAACTACACTCATCTACACTCATCTACTCACAACTACACTCATCTACACCACATCTACTCACAACTACACTCATTCTACACACATCTACTCACAACTACACTCATCTACACACATCTACTCACAACTACACTCATCTACACACATCTACTCACAACTACACTCATCTACTCACAACTACACTCAACTACACACATCTACTACACTCATCTACTCACACTCACTCATCTACTCACAACTACACTCATCTACACACATCTACTCACAACTACACTCATCTACACACATACTCACAACTACACTCATCTACACACATCTACTCACAACTACACTCACTCACACTCACACTCACTCACACTCACAACTACACTCATCTACACACTCATCTACTCACAACTACACTCATCTACACACATCTACTCACAACTACACTCATCTACTCACATCTACTCACAACTACACTCATCTACACACATCTACTCACACTACACTCATCTACTCACATCTACTCACAACTACACTCATCTACTACTCACATCTACTCACAACTACACTCATCTACACACACTCACATCTACTCACAACTACACACTCATCTACTCACATCTACTCACATCTACTCACATCTACTCACATCTACTCACAACTACACTCATCTACTCACATCTACTCACAACTACACTCATCTACACACATCTACTCACAACTACACTCATCTACACACATCTACTCACAACTACACTCATCTACTCACATCTACTCACAACTACACTCATCTACTCACATCTACTCACAACTACACTCATCTACTCACATCTACACTCATCTACACTCATCTACACTCATCTACACACGTCTTGTAAATAGAACCATACCAATGCCCCTGCCTCCTAGTGGACAGAGAAGGCCGTCACACTCAAGGGCACAGGTGTGGTCTACCCCCAATATTTTTTTATGAATTCTTTCCAAAAACACACAGAGTCTGGGCAGGTCCAAAATAAGTGAGAGGTGGTTTCATATTTCAGTTCACAAAATGTACAGTTTGTGTCCATTGCCCTTCTAAGATGATTCTTTATTGGATACCAGCGATGTAGAAGTTTGTAGCAGATTTCCCTTTGCCTGTTGGTGATGATATATTTGTGAGGTAACGTTCAAAACATTTTTCCATGGAATATTGTCAGTAGAGTCCGGCTGCACGAGTAGGGCTCCGTTTGGGAGGTGCACTTGTGCTGATAATCGCTCTTTTTCCACGGCGACTCATTATAAGGCAAGTTTAATTGAAGATGAAGCCAAGTACCGTATTTTCCAGGCTATTAGGCCCTCTGGATTATAGGGCGCACTGTTATGAAATGGTGCTCTGGATTGCGGGGCGCGCAGCCGTTTTTTGATGGGGTTGGAGGCTTAAGAGCATGTCCAAGAGCCCGGAAAATATGTTAAGTTCCTTTTGAAAAGTTTTTCAAAGTTTGGTGCGCAGCGTCTTCACTCACGTCTGCTCAAACCACCATCTTCAGGTGCGGCCCTGTCCTGCCGCTTCCCCAGTTTAGGCTTCTGTCTACACTAATGACATCACTCTGTTGTAGCCAATGAAAACAGCGGCAGGTGTAACCCTGTCAACATATCACTGAATACATCTCAGAATGTCTAATAAAAAAATGTGAACTGAAATGAGTTAAATAATACTATTGAGTTCGGAAAAATATAGCAGAATAAAAGTATATTTTTGTTTATTAAAGTAAAATGGCAAATATTGGTAGGGACTATTTTGTCTTCCCCAAATATTGGTTGTGACATGTCCACACCGTCCCTATGCAAACCTACGCCCTTGGTCGCACTCATGAGTACAGGTCACAGTGATGCGTCATCGCTCTACAGTTGGCAGTGAACCTTGTGGTGAATCCCTCTGCCACCAATCCACAGTGTGAGTATTATTTCATTTCATTTACATTAAGTTAATTACAGCACACATACTTTAATTTAATTCCTTTATTTAGACTTAAATTCTAATTTGGGTGCACACATTTTAGTTAATATAAGTCTGAATTATTTACTTACACTTGTGGCCAGACAGAGGACCTTTGGCAGAGACCATCCACGACGAACAAACGAGGGAGAAGCACTTTTTAGTTTGTTTTCCTAAGTTTGTTTGTCTAGTTTGTTTAAGTTTACTTTATTATCACTTATTATTTTGTGTATTATACTTATTTGCCTTTTTGTTACTTTGATTAAGTTAGTTGTTTTATTAATTATGTGTTCTCTTGTGTTCAGTTTTAGTTGGGCCTCATGTATCATGTATTTAATCATGTATTTAAACACCCCTGTTCTCTTTCGGGTTGGGTTAGTTTTGTTCTGTTCAGTTTGATTTAATTTACCCCAGTTGGGCCCAGATTTTTGTTAACGATTTACCTAATTTGAGGATTTGTTAAATTATATTTTTTAATACCTTGTCTTTGTCTTTCTCTTTGGTCCACGACAAAACTCAATGAACAGTGTCAATTATTTTAAGACATGTGGAGGATGCATTCAAATAAAAAAGATCAACATATTCTATTACAAATAAGACGGTTGCAGTGACAAGGTGCTTTACTTCAAAAGGAAAAACTCAGCTACTTACAGGAGAAGAAACCCAATTTAAGTTTTAGTTTCTTCCGCTGTACTGGGGCAAGACTCGATTTTCCTCAAATACACGGAAAAAAGTCAGGTACTGGCCTTTTAATGATGAAGGAAAACCATTATAATAGTCTTAGACCATTTAAGCTCTAAAACGTCGGGTTTGCATAATGTCTCCTTTCATGACGGGAATCCCTGCGGTTATCCGTCGCTCACAAACTCTCCACTGCTGTGACAGGCGCGGTGACAGGTGCAATGACATCTATAATATTCCGTGACATATTATAGATGCAGTGACAGGGGCAGTGACAGGCGCGGTGACAGGTGCACACAGCTCTGTGTCGTAGTTTAAATATTGTGTCATTTCCTGGGTTGACTCCACAGTTTGACTCTGAGTTTAAAGCTCGTTCTGATAACAGCGCGGCGCTCCTGGCTGTGTCTGTCAGAGGAGCTGTGGGAAACTGCTGCTTTGGGAATAAACCGGGGCAAATGACAGACACGGGATTCAAGTCAGGATTACATTTACTTGTACGTAATAGTACAGTTTATGCAACGACTTTCTAATGTCACACCTGTTTAATTTGTACAGTGCAAAATAACTAGGGCTGGGCAAAAATTAAAAAACTTAATCGCATGAGTTCCTGTGATTAATCATCAACACGAAACCAATTAATTAATTCAAAAGTAGCATATAGTGCACTTTTGAATCACTTTGCACCTGTAACTGACAAAACTGTTTTAGAGATCGTTACCAGTCTGAGTTCATCTACTTGCTGCCTGGACATGTTACCCACTAGATTTCTAAAATCCGTCCTCAACAGTTTACTTTCACCACTCACTCACATAGTTAACATGTCACTTCAATCTGGAACATTCCCAAATGCGTTGAAAACTGCGGTCATTAAGCCTCTCCTAAAGAAGAGCAGTCTTGATGCCACAGTACTGAACAATTTCCGACCCATCTCAAATCTGCCGTTTTTTGGCAAAGTCCTTGAAAAAGCTGTTTACCAACAGCTTACGAACTTTCTCCAAATGAACAACTCCTTTGATGTTTTCCAGTCAGGTTTTAGAGCCCACCACAACACTGAGACTGCTCTTATCAAGGTGACAAATGACATCCACCTGAACACTGATGCAGGCAAAGTCTCAGTCTTGATCCTGTTAGATCTGAGTGCTGCTTTTGACCCTGTCGATCATGGGATCCTCTTACAGAGACTAGAGGACTGGGTGGGCATCTCTGGTACTGTACTAAACTGGTTCCCAGAGTCACGACTAAACAAGGGGAGTCAGAGTTTCAGGTTCATGCAGCTAAAACCTGGAACAGTCTTCCTGAACATGTGAGACAGACTCTTCTGTGACGCTGTTTAAATCCAGACTCAAAACATTTCTGTTTAACTGTGCATATAACTGAAAGGTTTTCATTCCACACTCTTCTCTCCAATTTATGTCTCTCTTTTTTAATTTTAATCTTCATGATTATTTATGTTTTGATTTGTTTTTATTATGATTTTAATGTATTTCTTATTCTGTAAAGCACTTTGAATTACTTTGTGTACGAATTGTGCTATACAAATAAACTTGCCTTGCCTTGCCTTGCCTTTTATTAGAAATGTAAACAAAAGTGCTGTACAATTGATGTGCAAACAGCATTTCTTTATACAGGAGCAGGGCACTAGTTTGTAAAGTCCATGTTTATACTTACGCATCTTACCCAAAAAAAGAACCAATTTCAGTGCAGTTTGTCAATTCCGAAAATTTGACTTAATGAATTTGACTTTAATGTGTTAATGTGTTGATGTTGGATTTAGTGTATGAGAGACTGGTGGTTGTTGGAGATGTATATTAGCAGCCACACTTGTCCCAGTCTGTCCCGGGGCAGCTGTGGCAGTGGCAGGTGTAGGACTCTCACCTGGACTGTAGATGTTCCAGTTGCACCTGCAGGTTCTCCGTCTGCTCCACCTGCTCGTCCAGTGACCTCTGCAGCTTCCTCGACTGGTTATGGGCCTCATCCAACTAAACGCAAACATTTATTACATGATTTATTGCTGTAAAAATACATGGTTCAGCATATTCTTTTCAATATTTTTCTCACTATTAAACACTAAATGATCACTATTATTATAGAACTGTATGTAGCCTGCGCTCTTACAGTTTAAAAAGGTCTTACAATCAACTGAACCTCTGTTGCCAATCCCTAATAATAAAAACACAGAGAGTTTTTCACACTCTCAGTACAGTATATGGACAGGCCTCATGTGAAAGCTCAGAACCTCCAGAATTCCCTCACTGAGCAGCAGAGGCCGCACTAGCACTGATTCATGAATGGCTGCAGATGCTGGGGTTTAGGTAGAGAACATTCAGACCAGAGAGAGGCATTTTAGGTTTAACCAAGTGAACCAAAACACCAAATTATAACACCAACAATGTACCATATTTTTTGGACTATAAGCCACAGTTTTTTTCATGGTTTGGGTGTTTCCTGCAACTTAATACTCCGGTGCGACTTTTTCACACTGAAGCAGCGAGAGGCTCTAGTCTTGTGTGTCAGTATCTGCTGCTCCTATTACTCCTGTATCAATGTCATTTGGCTCTATTGTGCATGTCTCCTGCAGAAAGAGCCACTGTCCTGCTGCAAGTAGTGAAATATTAAGCAGAAAACGGTAATCGAGCAGCAGAAAGAAAGTTTGGAGTGAGCGAGAAACTTGTGACAACCGGGCAGGTGCACCATGCAACTTTCCTGGAAGTCATTGGCTGGATAGACAACGTCTGGACTTCAGTGACACCAAATCCATCCTGTTGGGATTCGGAAAGGCCGGAATAATTCTAACTGGAACTGATGCTGAGTCTGATGACAGCTACACAGAAGAGGAAGCGGCGCTCAGTTTACCTCCGGAGGTCACGGAGTTGATCAGAAGTGACACAGAGGATGAAAAATTCAATGGGTTTAGTGATTTGGAGTGAGATGGAGAGTTTGTTCAACTTGTTCTGTTATTTATGCTATAGTTATCTGAAGATTCATATGTTACATTAACATACCAGATGCCTATTCAGTCTGTTGTTCTCTGTTCTATTGTTCTTACTATAACTTGCCTTTTAAGGATGAAATGTCGGGTCCTGGTCTCTGATTTTATAAAATAAATTTCCCCCAAAAAGTGCGACTTATAGTCCTGTATATTTGATTTGAGAATGTGTGTCTCATATCCTGGGACACAGTTTGCTCATATTTAAGGATTTTAAACTCTAAATCTTATATACAGTTCCTTTAAATCATTTTTAGTGCAACTGGAAACATGATAAAGGTTTATGAATGAAATTTATGGATAAAGACACCGGAAACAGTGGGAGCAGAGTCTTGTCTGTACCTCGTCCTCCGCCTGTCCCAGCTCCTTCTTCAGCTCTTCCACTCTGAGCCGAAGCTTCTTCACCTCCGCCTCGTGCCCCTCCATTCGTCTGTTGGCGTGGGCCAGCTCCGCCGTCTTCTCCTGGAACTGCTTCTTTAGTTTAGCGTGGACGTGTCTCAGGTCTGCCAGCTCCTGAGAGGAAACACAGGCGCAGGTTAGTTTAATGTCTATTCAGATACTTGCTTTGACACAGCAAAAAAGTAGTCTGCGGTTTGATTCCTGGTCCAGACATTGATGTGGAGTTTGCATAAGCGGTTTTCTCTGGCTTCTCTCAATGTAAGTACAACCTCAGTTTTTAAGTGGCTCTAGACAAATACAACTAGTAATAAAGTAGAGATTGTTAGTCAGGCTGGTGCCACCTAGTGCCACCGCTGAATTTCATTTCTCTCCAGCGACTAGGTCAGGAATTGGAATACACTAGATGGTTTGCAAGAACCCAGGAAGATGTAGACCGCGCACCAGCCAATCAGAGAAGAGCTGTGAAGCCATGACGTCAAACTCAAGCATCTGTCTGAGTCCCTTTTGTGGAACAGCACAACAGTAAACAAAATGGTCGAGATGGATGTAGACGAAGACAGACATTCTGTGTTGGCAACGATTCCCGAGATCGAGGATTTAAAACCGGAACAAAGAGAATGTTTGGTGAATTTTATCAAGGGGAAAGATGCTACTGTCCTTCTTCCTACGGGATTTAGCGCATTACATACGTCACGAACAAATAGCAGCGATTGGTTAAATAAAAAAGTACCCGCCTACTGTGGAGCGAACAAATCTTAATAGTACAAGGTTAGACGGTTTCCACGAAGTGAAACCGGCTAAGAGATTGTACCCACTACTAAGAATTGTACTTGAAAATATGTCTGTATCTCTGGATAGTCACTGTACATTATACAAAGAATTACAATTTTAATTTCATTCATTTACCCTCAGGGGGAAACAACATGTATTATCAACCAAAATAAGTTTTCAGTATATACACTACTGGTCAAAAGTTTTAGAACACCCTAATTTTTCTAGTTATTTATTGCAGTTCAAGTCGTGTAAATTCAATGAAGACCTTGAAATGGTACAAAGGTAAGAACTGAACAGACAGAGGTTAAAAAAAAGGTAAAAGATACAAAACACAAGTCCAAGCTCTGCCAAAACTATCTCAGAAAAAAAAGAACAAGATGATAAACTTGAAAACATGGAGTGTCCAGCACAGTGTCCAGACTTAAACTCCATCGAGCTGGTTTGGGATGAACTGGACAGAAGAGTGAAAGTCAAACAAACTACAAGTGCCACACATTTATGGGAACTTCTGCAACAGACTTGGGAAGAACTTTCTGAAGAATATTTGATTTCTATTGTAAAAAGAATATCTGCAAAAGGTGGATACTTTCATTAATCAAAAGTTTAAATATGTTTTGGTCAACAGTAAACAGTAAAAAACTGTAACTCTAAAACTTTTGACCGGTAGTGTATACTGACAAATCAATACGTTATTAGCATTACTCATATTTGAGAGCAGGTTTTTGGCTCCTCTATTCACCATTGTACATTTAACAACTTGTAATTTAGTAATTTTTAGTTTATTTCTGTGCTGTGCTCTTTGTAAAGTGTTGAAAAGCGTTATATAAACTGAACTGCCTGAGATCCAGAATGCGCACGTCATCAACACTTAAATACAATAAGCGAGTCATGGTCGGTCAAAAAAAAGAATATGGCTGCTTAAGAGGAAAAAAGAAAGGAAAAAGTATCACAGGAGAGTGAAAAACATTGTGGATTTCTGCAAAATTTATGAGAGAAGCTCTAAACTCTGTAAATCTGAGGTGAGAGAAATGACGTTTAGTTTGAAAACATAGGTGACCAATGAGCTCCTTTGTTCACATGCGTCACTGAAAAAAAACAAATCAGATTGGACGATCATGATTGGTTGGATGAGATGGGGAACAGACTGCTCTCTCTGTATAAAAAAACAACAACAATGTATTATTATTATTATTATTATTAAAGAAAAAGACATATTTAGTTCTTCAGTTCACTGAGTTGTGAAAAATCGTTTACCATATTTTCTGGACTATAGGGCGCACTTAAAAGCCTTTAATTTAATCAAAAAATGACGTTTTATAATCCAGAGCGCTTTATATATGAATTTATTTGGGTGCCTTAGTACAACTTTAGTAAACTACAACGATGCACCACTTCCCGCATTATGGCTCCCGTAGTCAGGAGCATTGTGGAGTAACACATACTGTGATTCCTTTTAATATCAAAATGCACCTGTCAAGAGACACGTTTACAACGCCCACTTTAAACTCAAGGCTGTTATAAAGTGAAAGTGCGAGCTGTGTGGGAGCAGTGGATGAGAGAAGGAGAACACACATTCACCATTCAACTGTGGTCCGAGCTTTTACCAAGACCGGAATCATCACTGAACTGCCAGGGAACAGTAACCACACTGACTCGGATAATGACGAGAGGGATGCCGTAATCGCCGAACTGTTTTGAACAAGTATGAGTTATTGTGAATATCAGACAGTATTTTTTTTATGCGTTACAACTGAACAAAGTTGAGAGTTACTGTGAATGTGTTAAATAAAGTTTGACTGACTTATCTAACTGTTGTGTTTCGTTTAATGCGCCTTATAGTCCGGTGCGGTTTATTTGTGAAAAAACTTCGAAAATAGACCATTCAATGACAGTGCGCCTTATAATCCAGAGCGCCCTATAGTGTGGAAAATATGGTATATTTCTCTTAAGACTTGGCTACAACATTCTCATTCAGAGCAGGTCTTGTATCTTTTCATCCGCCTTGAAAATCTATTCTATAATTTTTCAGTTTTCTGTCTGAAGCGCCCTCCTCTCCGGCCTTACACAGGGTCGAGGAGAGAAGAGGCTGTACTTGGCGCTAATAGCATCATCAATAATGCACCATTGTCATTCAGTGCACTTAAATGTACTCAGATTTGGCCCCGCTCACACCTAAAGCTCCCTCCACTCTTCCGCTTCCAAGAAATCTGCCCCTCGCCTCCTTCATCTGCCCCTCCTTCTGCGTCAGGAACAACAAGGAAGATCCGAGGTGTAATGGGACGCAGCTGCTGGTCGATATAGACTTTTTATTTATTTATACAGAGCTCGGCGTTAGACTAACCTTAAGAGTAAAGAGACCTGTACAAAAGGTGGAAGCATTAGCAGTGATCGGGCTGAACAGTGGCACATTCCAGTTCATATTAAAGTTTGTATATTACACAAAATGGATTTATGCCATGTTATTATGCTGCTACCTCCTCAAAAACATACCTGGAGTTGTGTTTTGCTTCATTCACACATCCTTTATTGTTAGTCTGTCTACATCTTCAAAGTTTAAAATGATCTTGAATCATTCTAGTGAAGGTGTATGGAGTTTAAAAACACAGTGGAGCACTTCAAAACATGTGTGAATGAAACGAAACATAACTCCAGGTATGTTTGTGATGAGAAAACAACATTATAACTTTGATTTTCTTCCGCTTATCTGGGGCCAGATCGTGGGGGCAGCTCTCTAAGCAGGGACTTCCTTCACCCTGGACACTTCCACCATCTCCTCCAAGGTGTTCCCAGGCCACCTGAGAGACACAGTCCCCCCAGCGTGTCCTGGGTCTTCCCCGGGACCTCCTTCCGGTCGGACATGCCCGGAACACCTCCTGAGGAAGGCGTCCAGGAGGCATCCAGAACAGATGCCCAAACTACCTCAGCTGGCTCCTCTCGATGTGGAGGATCAGTGGCTCTACTCCGAGCTCCTCCCGTGTGACTGAGTTCCCCACCCTATCTCTAAGGGAGCGCCCAGCCACCTTGCCTCGCACGCTTGCACCTCGAAACTCATGTATCTGCAATCTCGTCCTTTCAGTCACTACCCAAAGCTCATGACCGTAGATGAGGGCAGGAACGTAGACTGACCGGTAAATCGAGAGCTTTGCCTTTCGGTTCAGCTCCCTCTTCACCACAACGGTCTGATACAGCGACCGCATCACTGCCGATGCTGCACCGATCCACCTGTCAATCTCACGGTCTTGTTCACGAGTGACGGAAGGATGGAGTGTGAGACTGACATTATAACAAAGATCTGAAAATATTGTAATCTGGGCGTGTTGAACTACCATTCACAGAAAAAGTAGGAAAAGTAGATTCTTTCTGAAAATTGTGTACAGTTTTATCATCGGGGACACCAAATAATTTTAAATATTTTAGTACAAAGGAATAATATTCACATAGTTAGGTAGAGCAGATACACAAATTGCTATTGTCCAGATTTTAATTAACTTTTTTAATAAAGAATGGGCAATGCAGCTTTATCCATTTATTAGGTGAAATTTATTTGGTACTATACTGTATAAAACAGTTGTTCCCAATATTTTCTCTCTCAGTGTCCCGTTTAACTCATGGATTTGCTTCGACCGCCACATCCTTCTCCTACCCGTAAAGCTTTCGTCTTAATAAAGAAAAACTTAATTATCTTCTGGTTTCAAATATGTAACAAAACAGAAGTAATTATAACATTCTTCATATAGGCAATTAACATGCCATCCCTTCATTAAAATTCACGCAGTATAGTCCGGACCTCTCTTCTAAGAAACCTTGAGGAGCCTCTGAAATCTTCGGGGACCAGGCGGGGAACGGCTGCTATAAATATGGAGGGAAGAACTGCAGGAGCGGAGACATTTTTTGGCTAATCAAAGAAGAGTTTGAGTTCGATACCGTGAAGAATTTGGAATATGGTGGATTCTTGAACTAACCCAGTTTCTTAAAGGTGCACCGCGCAACTTTCCCATTTCTCCATGAAAATGTTATTGCTTTGTCTAGAAAGTTCCACAGTATAGATTAAACCTGTCAATCACGAGTGGGTTAAAGCACTACGCTACATTACAATTCAGATCTGCGGAGAAGCGTCACTATTGATTGTCATTCATACATTATTGTATTTATGAACAACAGAAACATAAATTATGAATAAATTGTAACATATAATACTCCCTACAACTGTACAGCTCACCCTAATGTAATGGATTCTATTTTATTTTGACCTGTACATATACATTTACGTAATTATGTCTTCTTATTTGACACATGTCTCCTGCAACTTATTTAGAATGTATTACTATCATTTTTATTTT